CCTCCGGAGCCCCAGAGGGCCCTCTTGGGCCCAGACAAAGAGCCTTGAGGCCTTGAGGTGCAATCAGACACTTGGCTGGCTGGGAAGTTCTCTTTGTCCTGCACTTTTTGGGAGCAAATGACCCAGAAAAAGCTCTTGCCACTGGATCCCTGTCTTCTCCTGGGTCTAAGCTTCCTTTGCCCGGAGACCATCCTGGCTCCTTGCCTACAGCCAGCTCTGCAGACTGTTGTGACAACCATCCATCCGCCCCTTCCTGCACTTCTCCACTGGGAGATTTCACCCAGAGAAGAAATCAAAATAAGCAAGATAAGCCTCCCCAGAACCCCCCGTTCCCCCCGCTGCAGCACCTGGAGAGGGGACAGAGATGAGATGCAATTGTCTGAAAACTTGGGGGCCTCTTAAGAAGTACCAGGAGGCCCAGATACCAAGCGGGTGCCAGGCTGCCTCACCTGCCATCTCCCCGCCAGCCTCCCCTCCTCAGTTTGGGGGATCAGAAGCCAGTCTGTGCCCCCTCAGCCCCCCTGCAACAGCCGGGGCCAACAATGACCCTCTGAAGTCTGTGGCTATGGCATCCTGGGCGGGCTGCCAGGGGCAGTAACTGCCGGCCAGATAATCCTTTAGAAACTATGTCAAATGCCCACACAGCAGTGTCAGTTTCCTGCTTTCCGGGGAGCCTGGTGGTGGGGGGAGGTGACAGGGGGCCCAGGACCCCACAGTGGGGAGCCCAGTCTGGGCAGTGCCTTCGGGATGGTGGGCAGATAGGGGTGGGGGACTCACCTGTCTAGGAGGCTGGGTGGCTTCTGGGCAGGCGACAGGAGCTAGGGCCTGGGCTTCCGCCTGGCATCAGGGGTGGGGAGGGGACCCGAGGCTTGAGCTCTGGTCTCCCCACCTGTTTGCGCAACTTTGCCTCCCTGTGGTGGCCACAGGCTAGCCGGTCCCGTGCCAGGTGGAACCAGCAGGGCGACAGGCACAGGCAAACCAGCGAGAGTGAGAGAGACCTGGTTGGATGTGTGGCTCTGTTGCAAGGTGCTCTCACGTGGGAGCAGCTGACCTTAACCCCTGCCGGCCCAGAGGCCAGGGACGCCCAGTCCCGCCCTGCTTGCACTGGCCACCGCTGAGCCCTTGGCGTCAGCAAGGGACTGGCTCATGTGGCAGGTCTTTGGGAGACATTTGTGGAAAAATTCAAGGATGAATGAATGAATGGCGCAACCCTGCCCACCCCCCCCCAATCCCCTCACTGCTCCCCTTGCCTTCCAGCTGGCACAGCGTCCCACCGCTTGTGGCAGGGCTGCTCCTTCCATCCCCACAGATCTGAGCTCAAATTCTGCTTCTGTGCCACCAAGTGACTGGCCGGATTCCTACACTGAGAATTTTCTATCACCTCCCCGCTGGGCAGCTTTGGGCAAGTCACCGGCCCCCCAGTTTCCTTACCTAAAATAACGGGAACAACGGGGACGTCCCTGGCGGTCCGGTGGTTAAGACTCCTCGCCTCCAGTGTTGGGGTCACAGGTTCGATCCCTGGTTGGGGATCTAAGATTCCACATGCTGTGCGGCGTGGCCCAAAAAATATATGAAAATAATAATAATAATAAAATGAAAACTAAAATAAAATTTAAAAATGGGAACAACACTGGCGTCTGCTCCTAGGGTTGTTTCCTACAGTAAAGTGAATGAATGTCCGTCCATAAAGGGCTGAGAACTCTGCTGGGCGCACAGTAGAGGTGCACCTTCCAGCTGCGACCCACAGGTGGCTGGTCTGAATGAATGACATGCAGGTAAAATACACATCGGATTTGGAAGAGCAGCTGTGCAGAAAAGCATGTAAAATAGCTCATTGGTTTTACCTATCGATTCCCTGTAGAAATGATAATAGTTTTGAATGTATTGCGTTCAATGAAATATCGTGTTAAAAGTTATCTCACCTGCTTTTGGTTTTTTAATTTTTTAAAATGTGGTTGCTAGAAAATTTTAAATGACATTTAAAAAGTTAAACTGAAATGGGCTTGCCTTGTAGTTCTATCAGAAAACACTGGAATAGGAGCTTAATACGTATTAGCTGTGGAGCCTTTTGCAGTCACATTCTGTTGCCATTGTATCACATCTGTATTAGTTTCAAAGTATTTATTAGCAGCTGAAACGCCTTGTGTCTTGTTTGCTTGTTTGTTTGTCTTCTAGATGTCTCTCTCTTTTTTTTGGCCGCGCCATGCAGCTTGTGGGATTTTATTTTATTTTATTTTATTTTATTTTTTTGCGGTATACGGGCCTCTCACTGTTGTGGCCTCTCCCGTCGCGGAGCACAGGCTCCGGACGCACAGGCTCAGCGGCCACGGCTCACGGGCCCAGCTGCTCCGCGGCATGTGGGATCTTCCCGGACTGGGGCACGAACCCGTGTCCCCTGCATCGGCAGGCGGACTCTCAACCACTGCGCCACCAGGGAAGCCCAGCTTGTGGGATTTTAGTTCCCAACCAGGGATCGGGCCCTCGGCAGTGAGAACGTGGAGTCCTAACCATGGGACCACCAGGGAATTCCCTAGATGTCTCTTCACTGAGGTCGGGGATTTGGTCCTGCTTTTTCGTGTATCCTCCTGGCCTAGAACAGTGCCTGGTATACAGTAGGTGCTCAATAAATATTTGTGGAATGACTTAATGGAATATGGGGAGGGGGTGGAAGACTCATAAAGTCCCTCTTACCTGCAGGACCCAGTGCTGACAGCAATAGCCACGATAGCCACGAGGGGGCGCCCGAAACCAGGCAACCAGCCCCAGCTGGGCAGCCTCAGTTTTCCATCCTGCAAAATGGGAATATCGAGCAGGCACTTGGGGGGATGAAGGAAGAGGAGCAAAAGCCGCTGCCCCACGGGATCCCGGCCCCTCCTCTCCATTCCCAGTTGTCTGAGCCAGTGGTTCTCAAACTCTATCAGGCATCCGAATTGCCTTGGGAGGCTCATTGAAAGACAGACTGTGGGTCCCCGCCCCCAGAGTTTCTGATGCAGGAGGGCTGGGCTGGGGCCTGAGAACCTACATTTCTAACAAGCTCCTGGATGATGCTGATGGAGGCAAGTCCAGGCACCTCACTTTGAGGATCACTGATGTAGATTTTCTCTGGAGACAGATTCAAAATGAATCAGGAGTTCTATCCATGGCGCGTGTCCAGAGAACTTCTGGAGCCTTTTTAAAAAATGGTGGCAAAATACACATAACATAAAATTTACCGTCTTAACCGTTTTTAAGTGCACAGCTCAGTGGCATTAAGCACATTCTCATTGTCGTGCATCCATCCTCTCCACCCATCTCCAGAACTTTCTCATCTTCCCAAACTGAAGCTCTGTCCCCAGGAAACACTGACTCCCCAGCCCCTCCCCCACCCCGTGGTCCCCACCATCTACTTCCTGTCTCTATGGATTTGAGTCCTCTAGGGACGTCATGTGAGTGGGATCAGACAGCACTTGTCCTTCTGTGTCTGGATTCTCTCACTGAGCATCACGTCCTCCAGGTTCACGTACGTTGCAGCGTGTGTCAGAATTCCCTTCTTTTTAAGGCGGGATCATATCCCATTGTATGAATGGACCACATTGTGTTCATCCATCATCTGTTGATTCCCTGGAGCTGTTTGACTCCTTCTCTCTGGGTAGGCTCAATTCTAACAGGACACAGCTAACCTAGGGAATCCCTCCACGTCATCCTGGGTCCTGTTCTCTGCGTCTTCCTTTTTCTTGATTTGTCTCCTTGTTTTGATGGAGAACATTTCAGGAGCATCTTTCTAAGCCCTGGGTTGGACCGAGGCCTGCTCCATCTTGCTGATTCCCCCTTATCCCATCACCAAGCACCCCTCAGCCCAGCCTTGTCAGCCTCCCGCTGACCTCGCCAGCACCCTGACAATGAGGAGGGATCACGTGTCTGGAGTCGGACAGGCCTGGGTGAAAACAGCCCAGCTTCACCCACACCAGCTGAGCGTCTGGACTGCCCCACCTGCCTCCCAGCAGAAATCATGAATAATGAATAAAACTACTAATAGCAACATTTATTACTCCCCACACCATGACCTCAGAATGAACGACTGCCTAACCATATCGTTGGTGAGTTCACCATTAGACTTAAATAATATTATTATTCTTAATACAATAAGGAAAGGGGATGCTTCACAACACGGTCCTTTGTGTGATTCCAAATACATGGCTTCAGCTCTCTGCGCTCCTGTTTTCTCATGTGTAAAATGGGGATGATAATAGTTCCTATCCGGTTGATCAAATTGTCTTCTAGGTGTATTGTTCCGTGTTAAGTATTGGGAATATGGTAGTAGTTAAAAAAAAAGGAAACAAAAAGCAGGTCCCTAACTTATGGAGATATTGCATATAAAGGCTTTAGCACTAAGCTTGGCATTTAAGGATATTATTGTTACATATAACTAATTTTTACTAGGTTATATATCATAAATAATATTTTTACGTTACATATTAACATTACTTATTATAATACCATATTACTGTTTGTTTAATAGTCACGTTAATGTATCATGATAATATCACATATAATTTGTATATTGCGCATAATGATAAAAATTTGTTTCTTATTATTACGTAACTATTATTTATATCAAACATAAGCATATGTAATATAAAATTTATTTTTAATATGATGATAATTTTTAACTGTAGTTATTATTTATGCTCGTTATGTATAATAACGCTCTTACGTACTACAGTAATATTGACAGGAATGGCGCTGCCCTTCCACCCCTGGGCACGTGAGGGCGCTCGCGCCGCTCCTGGGGCCCGGGACGCACGCAGGCCCCGCCTCCGAGCCCCGATTGGCGGTGCGCGCAGTGCGCGATGGCGCAGCGCCTGGCCCCGTCCCTGGCCCGCCCCTCACTCCCTGGGCCCGGCCCCTTCCCTCAGCTTTCCAGCCGGTGGCGGTTGTTGTTCAGCGGCGGCGGCGGCGGCCGCAGCTCGGGTCGCAGCCTCCGGCCGCCCGCCCGCCCGCCGGCAGGTCCGCGCGCGGCCATGGAGCTGGAGGTGCCGGACGAGGCGGAGAGCGCCGAGGCGGGGGCCGTGACCTCGGAGGCGGCCTGGGCGGCAGAGAGCAGTGCGGCAGCAGGTAACGGTTCCGGACCTTCCTCCTTCTCTCCCCGCTCCCCGAATGGACCCGCCCAGCCCCCCCTGCCGGGGCCCAGTGGACCCGTCCGAGCGCCGGAGGGGCGTCGGGACCCGCAGCGGGGAGGCAGGGACGTTCCACTCGGGGGCGCTCGCGGGGGGCATGGAACGCCCCACTCCGGGGCTGGGGGACGCGCTGCGGGGCCCGAGACGCCCCGCCCTGGGGGTCGGGGTGGCGCCGCCCATTCCCGGGGTTCTTGGGGGAGCCGCCTGTCTGGGAGCGGGGGTTGGCGCAGGGCCCCATTCTGGGAGGCTGTGGGTGGAGCAGACCCCGTTGGAGACATGCGGGGAAGATGGGTCCTCACCTCTGGGAGGGGTGCGACCCCTATTTAGGACGCGCGGTAGGTGGGTGCACTGCCTCCTGCTGAGGGCGCTTGGGAACGACGTCCCACCCAGTGTTGTTGTCAGGGGGCTGCTCTGCATGTGGGATAGTGGAGTACCCCCGTTCCGATGGGGGGCCTTGCCTCCAAGGGGTGACGCTGTCCCACATGTTCCCCCGCCCACGACCGTCTGGACCCACTGCTCGGGGCCGCCCACTTTGCTGGTATCAGCTTCCGGGCCTCACCCGTTTCCCTGCAAGCCGTCACCCTGTGGGCACATCTTACTGGCCGTTAAGGGCAGGGGCTGCTGTGGCGGAAGTGGGGGGTCTCGGAGGCCAGCTGGGTCAGCCTCCTGACTACCTCATTTTTGTGGAATTCACCAGACCTGGTTTCTAGTCCCCTGGCCATTCCTTCCCTTTCTGGGTCTCAGTTTACCTCCTATAACCGGAGGTAGGGAGGGGGATGACATCTCCAGGCCCCTTCAGTGCCAGGGCTTGCCAGCAGGTGGGGGAGGAGGAGGCCCCCTGCAGACCTTTCCCTGTATGTTGGGGGGCTGCCGTAGTTCTGTAGGGGCAGTGCTTTCTTGAGTCCCTCTCCTTGGCGTTCCTCCCTGGCCCTCTAGCAGAGCAGGTTTGGGGAAGGAGGCAGCCTCGCCCTGCCCCGTGGGCCCACGGTCTGCCTTTCCCTGGGGCGGTGTGCAGAGCCCAGCCACTGCCTGGTTCCTTCTTGGTCAAGGTTGCAGGCTCCCAAATAGGAAGTTTCTGGATCCGCAGAGTTCTCTGTTCCAGGCAGCCCTCTCTGGCGAGTCCCCCGTAGACACCCACAGGGGCATCCATCCTCTTTCTCCCCCGGGCCTCCCGAAGCTTTCTTGGCAGGCAGGGAGATGCTGTGCTGCCTGGGAGTTGGGAGAAATGTCTGGAGAAAGAGCCAGAGCGAGCGAGCTCCCCCGGGCTCCAGAGGACTCCCACCGCTTCCTTTCTTGCTGCCATCTGGAGCTGCTTGGTGGGTTACCCTGGTTCAGCTCCAACAATCCGGCCCTCTGGCTCCCGTTCTTTTCTAGTGGCGATGCCCTGCCTGGCCAGCCCCAGACATGGCAGAGGGACCCGGCTGAAGTCCTTTGTCAGCCCCCTGACCTCCACCAGCAGCCCTCTGCCCTGTGCTGGGCAGAGACACAATAGCCTAGGATGCAGTGCCCACAGGAAAGCCACACAGCATATATTTGTCTTATCAGGGGCTAGGTGATCTGATGGAGGCAGATAAAGCCCCAGGCCCTGGCTGTGGTTGGGTCTGAGCACAGGGACCTGGCCCATAAGGGGCCGTCCCCGCTCCTGTCCCCAGACCCGCAGAAATCCAGTTCCCACAGCTGATCACTTACATCACTCACTTTAGGGTTAATAGCTGTCTGTCCTCTGCCGAACCCGTTTCTCTTAAGTTTGGGGAACAGCTGTCCATGCCTTTCCTGCTGCTCGAACAGATGCGTAAACACACAGATGGGTCTGCTTGCTCACCAGGGGGTTCGTATGATGCCAGAGTCTCGATGCCTCCGCTCTAGTTTGGGGCTGGAAAGTTCTTTGTTGTGGGTGCCGTCCTGGGCACTGTGGGGTCCAGCGGCATCCCTGCCCCCACCCACTTGATGCCAGGAGCCCCCCCAGTCCTGACAACCACAGGTGTCCCTGGACATCGCCCAGTGTCCCCTGAAGACACAGTCACCCGGGGTGAGGGCTGCCGTAGTTCACCCGTCATTCTGTAACTTGCTTGCTTTTTATCCATAATACGTTTTTTTTCCCCCACGTTGGTATCATTTCTTTTCTTCAGAGAGAGAGAATATGGTGCTGTGATTGAGAAGGTGGAAACCCCTTATCCTGCCTGGGTTCCACTCAATTTCTCTGTGACCTCACAGGGCAAATGCCTTGATCTCTCTGAGCCTCAGTGTCCCCATCTGTAAAATGAGGCCACACTGCCAGCTTTACCTGAGTTAGTGCATCAGCAGGTGGAGGGCGCTTGGTGAACTTTAGTGACAGCCCACCCCCTTTAGGCATGAGCTTCC